AGAACAAGAGCTTGAACAAGGAGTTGTGTTGCATGTTCTGAAAGAAAGGACCTGATCTTCCTAATGTTGTATAAAGCAAATCTGCAGGACCGGACAGTTTTAGCAATGTGGTCTGAAGGAGTTTTTGAAGGAGTGAAGCTGTTTTTGAAGGAGTTATAGTTGATGAGCCTAACTGGATGGTGAAATTCTGATAAAGTGATGGGTTTATTGAAACCACAAGCAGTTCTGTCTTAGCCAGTTTGAGTTGAAGGGGATGGTCCGTCATCCAACAAGAAATGTCTGTTAGACATGCTGAGATAGATGATAAATGTTCAGGAGAAGGAACCAAAGATGAAACCATAGCAGATAGCCGATAGGGTGAGAGAGAGCGTAGGTTACATCGAAAAGTGACATGTGTAGGGATATGTGTTGTGTTAGGAACTATGTTGAGGTTAAGAGTGAGGAGGAAGTGATCCGAGGTGTGCAGTGGAGTAACCAGTACATGATCAGTGGAGCAGTGTCGTGTGTAAATAAGGTCCAGTTGGTTGCCTGATTTGTGAGTAGCCGTAGTTAATAGTCGCTTGAGATTAAAGGAAGCAAGCAGAGTGTGGAAGTCTGCAGCCTGAGGTTTATCTAGGTGGATGTTGAAGTCTCCAAGCATAACTAGGGGAGTACCATCCTCAGGAAAGTTTGAGAGCAGCACATCTAATTCTTCCACGAAGTAACTTAATGGTCCTGGGGGTCGAAAAAACGACTATAAAATGGATTTTAAGAGGGTGGGTAATAGTGGCTGAATGTGATTCAAAGGAGCTGTTGATACTCAGAGATGGTAAAGGATTACATTTCCAATCATTAGAGATAAGCAGACCAGTACCTCCACCTCTTCCGGTCAGACGGGGGGAGTGGGAAAAAGAGAAATTATTTGAGAGTGCTGCAGGTGTAACATTGTCCTCTGGTTTGATCCATGTCTCTGTCAGGGCCATGAGGTTTAGTCTTGAATAACTAGTAAAAGAAGTAATAAAATCTGCTTTGTTTACAGCAGACTGGCAATTCCAGAGACCAATAGAAAAAGAAAGTAGTGTATTAGTAGACATAGGCAAAGTGCGCAAGTTGTTAGGATTGCGCTGCCTACAGTGTGTGATGCATGGTTTGTGAGTGGTAGTGATAGTAGGGATCTGGAAACACATAGTAAGAATTGGTTATAAAAACTGAAAACAGAAGGGAAACAAGGGGTAGGAAAGAGAATGATTCAGAAGTGATACTTATGTGTCTTGCCGGTGTCCCTGCTCGGTGGAGTCGACCGGTAGAGTCAATGGTCTTTACACTCTTCGGTCTTCACACGAGGAGAGCTTCACACGAGGGCTGCCGCGACCGCTGCCTCGGTGTACTAAGCTTTTTATATTCGTCTAACAAAACTCAAATTGAATTCAGCTGGACACACTTTCCTGTTTATCACACCAAATGCTCTAGCAAGTTCATAAAACAGCTATAAAATTCAATGCTTGCTTTTTTTCACAAAAAAGTCACAAATAACATAATGGATGACCTCATTAGAATGATAATTTAAATCACAGTGTCAAAGAATGGCAGAGTGCGTATTGTACAGAGTAATAGGAAATTATCTTCTGTGGTGCTGCTGGAGATCACAAGACCCTGTGGAATTAGAATGTGTCATTCTGAACCCAGTGGAATAAGAATATGTCAGAACGAAACTCCATTAGATCAATGGGCATCTGCTACAGTCCCGAGTTCTCACATCCAACAGAGCACAAAATATGCTCACATTTGAGAGTATTTATTTCGCACTTTGGTGAATCTGAGAACAGGACACATCTTTTATCCTACACACATGGCTGATGTCCATGATTTTATTCCTCTGAAAGGCATGCTATCATGTGTTTGCAGGTATCCCAGTGGAAGATAAGGTGAACATCTTCATCAACAGCTTTGGGTCAATCCAGGAGACCACAATGGTTTGTAAAAAAAACATTAGTTAGTATGTGTCTGTAATTTACTGTCTATTTATTCTACCCACCTAACTGTTTTTACATATCTTTTCTTTGCATATTTTTTGTTTCGTATTAGTCATTTATGCACACAATCTTGTTAAATGTTGTATGTTTGATTGATTTAAAAATATATTTGTCTATTTTTATACTACAGTATGTTGTACCAAGACAAGTTGTTTGTTTCATTTCCAGGATTACCGTGTTAACATATTCCTGCGCCAGCGCTGGAATGACCCACGGCTACGGTTGCCAGCTGATTTTAAGTCGGATGCATTGACCGTTGATCCAAAAATGTTCCAGTGTCTATGGAAACCAGATCTGTTTTTCGCCAATGAAAAAAATGCTAATTTTCACGATGTTACACAGGAAAACATACTCCTGTTCATTTTCCGCAATGGAGACGTCCTCATCAGCATGAGGTAATCCATGGTCAGATATTTCACAGTTTTGTAAAAAAATATACTGTGTATATATATATATATATATATATATATATATA